AGAGCAGAGCAGAGGGGCAGGATCACCCCCTGGGGAGCTGATGGGGTGAGTGCTGTGCTGTGGGTCACAGCGTGTCCTTGCCCCTGGCAGTGGGGGAGCTGGAGATGGGTGACTGGCAGGAGGTGTGGGATGAGAACACCGGCTGCTACTACTACTGGAACACTCAGAGCAACGAGGTGACCTGGGAGCTGCCACAGTACCTGGCGACACAGGTCCAGGGCCTGCAGCACTACCAGCACACGTAGGTGACACCCTCCAGGCCCTGGGAGGGGAGATGTGGGGATGTTGTCCCTGTTCCTGCCCTTCACACCCTCTCCTCTTCCTCAGCAGCACCGTGGCAGGCGCCAATGGTGGCTTTGTAGCAGCAGCTGAAGTGTACCCCCAGGAGAAGGGGGTCGGCCGAGGGACCCCCATCACCAAGCGGGAGGTGAAGAAGGTCAGTCAGATGGGACCAGCACCAGGTTCTGGTGGCCACAGGGCTTGTAGGTGCCCCTTTGGGCTTGCTTAGTGGTGGGTGGCAGCCCAGAGAGGTGCCTCGTCAACATGGGTACTCCTTCCTCTGTGGTCTCTGGGGCTGTGGTGAGGGGCTGGGAGCTGCTGGAGGCTCACTGTGGGGTTTGACCTGCAGGAGGTGAATGAAGGTGTTCAGGCGCTCTCCAACAGCGAGGAGGAGAAGAAGGGGGTGGCTGCAGCCCTCCTGGCACCCCTCCTGCCTGATGTGGTGAAGGAGGAAGAGGAGCGTTGGAGGAGGAAGGTGATCTGCAAGGAGGAAGTGGAGCCACCTCCGGAAGAGGAGGTGAAAGCAGAAGAGGCTCCAGCTGCTCCCGAAGAGCCGGAGCCCAGCAGGGATCCCCTGGAAGACACACTCCAGGAGGAGCTGTGCAGCGTGGTGCAGTCAGGGGAGAGCGCTGAGGAGGAGGAGGAGCAGGACACCCTCGAGCTGGAGATGGTGCTCGAGAGGAAGAAGGTGAGGAGGAAGGGCTTTATGATGGGAACGAGGCCTTTTCCCGTGGCTGCTCCTCAGGAGGAGGCTGATGTCCCTGTGTTGTCCCATAGGCAGAGCTCCGTGCCCTGGAGGAAGGCGATGGCAGCGTGTCCGGCTCCAGCCCGCTGTCCGACGGGAGCCAGTCGGCCTCACAGGATCCAGCCCGGAGGCTGGCTTCCAAACGGGGCAAATGGAAGCTCTTTGTGGGAGCTGCCAGCCCCGAATCCGCCAGTCGAGGCTCCAGCAAAACGGGCCGGGAAAGCCCCGAACCGGGAGAAGCAGGTAATGGGAAAGGTCCCTTGGGAAAGGGCAGGGTTGGGTGGATCCTGGAGCCCCTGTGACACACGGAGGAGCTGGGATGGGCACTGCCAGGTTCTGTCCTTCATCCCAGTTAAAGAGCAGAGATGGGAGAGTGTCCGAATCTAGTGCTTCCATCGGGAAAAGGAAGAGGAGAGTGCCTGTGCTTGATGCTTTGTCAGAGAATCCCAGCCTGGTTTTTGTTGGAAGGGACCTTAAAGCTCCTCCAGCCCCAACCCCTGCCCCGGGCAGGGACACCTTCCACTAGAGCAGGTTGCTCCAAGCCCCTGTGTCCAACCTGGCCTTGAACACTGCCAGGGATGGGGCAGCCACAGCTTCTCTGGGCACCCTGTGCCAGCGCCTCAGCACCCTCCCAGGGAAGAGCTTCTGCCTCAGAGCTCATCTCAGTCTCCCCTCTGGCAGGTTCAAGCCATTCCCCTTGTCCTGTCCCTCCATCCCTTGTCCAAAGCCCCTCTCCAGGTTTCCTGGAGCCCCTTTGGGCACTGGAGCTGCTCTAAGGTCTCCAGGGTCAGGAGAAGGAACACAGAGGTGTGACAATGGCCACTTCACACTCTTCTTCCTGACACTATAAATCCAGACCGTGGTCTCTGAGGAAACTGTCACCTTCCTCTTTCACATCCCGTTTTGAAGCTGCCTGCTGACAGCCACCAGACTTGAGGCAGTTGAGGTGTTCTCCAGGGCTGCTCCAGCTCTTCACCTCATGGTGCTGTGGGGAACACGAGGCAGAGCCTCACTGTGAGGAAGACCTGGTTCACGTGAGGTTGGATCCTGTTGGCTGAACCACTTGAACAAGAACCCCTCGTGCTGCTGGTGGTGCTCTGCTGTCCCCTGCTCTCACACTGTCATAAATACGTGTTAAGTCCCAGTTCAGTGGGAGCATCACATAAATTCCTTGCCCTAGGGCGAGGAACTCACACCGGGCAGCTGGAGTGCTCTGTTACACCCCACCCCTCTCTGCCTGTACCTTGCTGCCTGGACTTCTCTGCCTGTAGCAACCCCCCTGCCCTCCCCAGCACATGTGTTGGAGGGAACAGCCTGTGCCTGGCAGCGCCGGGGCTCCCACGTGTGCTGGTCCCTCCCCAGCACAAGGCTTTGGTCCAGCTCCCTGCCCCATGGCACAGCTGGAGGGACACAACTCCTGTTACCAGGAAAAACTCCTACCCACGGGCCTGAGCAGTGGCC